GCCCTCCCCTTAATGGGCTCAGGGCAGGTTCCAGCAACATAAAATGCAACGCCGTTGCACATGGTGTGCAAATTCACACAGCAAACTGGAATCCACAAGGTATCCACTGCGGTCCACCTCCTCCCATTATCCCATACACAGTCATTTTAAAACCAATTTAAGATTCCTTGACTCATGGGTTTTAATATCTTTCCATAATTCCGTTTGTTCCGAATAAAAGATTCTATAGGATGTTTGGAATGTAAATAAGGTGCGGTCTGTCTAACAAATGCGCAGTGAGAAGTTTAGAACGGGCAGCGAGGTGCAGTCAGTAGATTTCACAATAACCTAGAGTCATAGAAATCATGGAGTGGGAAGGAGCTATACAAGCCATCTAGTCCGACCCCCTGGTTGCAGTAGCGACACTCCAACTTCCAGGTGTGACTTGGAAAAATCCCAAATGATCTGCTGACTAAAGACAGCGGTGGCCCTAGAGAAAATGGCTGCTTTGGAGACGGGTGCACTCCATGGCATTAAACTAGGGTTACCAGCTCCAGGTTGGGAAATTCTTGAGAATGTAGAATCTGGGAGGAATCTCAGCAAGGTATCAGGGGGCTTTATACCACATTGAGGGGCTGCGGTGGCTCAAGTGGTTAAGACACTGGACTGCAGACCGGAAGGTCGGTAGTTCAGCAGTTCGAGACCCGAGTGCCGCATGACGGAGTGAGCTCCTGTCTCTAGTCCCAGCTTCTGCCAATCTAGCAGTTCGAAAGCAAGAAATTGCAAGTAGATAAATAGGTACCGCTTTGGTGGGAAGGTAACACCATTCCGTGCGCCTCAGCGTTTAGTCATGCCGGGCCCATGACCATGGAGAAGGCTTTGGACAGCGCTGGCTCTTCTGCCTGGAAACTGAGATGAGCACCGCATCCCCAGAGTCGGATCCGAATGGCTTTTTAGAGGAAGGGAAACCTTTACCTATACCCCAATGAAGTCCCTCCTCTCCCAAATCCCACCCTTCCCAGATGCCAAGAATGGTTCAACCTGGAGCTGGCTACCCTGGTTAGGGTGACGCCTGGAATTCTCCCAGAATTACTTCTGATCTTCAGGCGACAGAGATCAGTTCACCAGGAGAATTTCAGTGCTTTGGAGGCTGGACAGTACAAGCATCATAGCCCCACTATAAATTCTCTCCCCAGGCTCTCTAGTAGCAAGTGGGATGTAAGCAGTTTCCTACAAAAATATAAGGTTGATTCCAGGGGCGCCTTTAAGACCATCAAAGTTTAATTCAGGGTACGAGCTTTCGTGAGTATCCAACAAAATTTAATTCAGGGTACGAGCTTGCCTGTGTATCCAACAAAGTTTAATTCTGGGTACGAGCTTTCGTGAGTATCCAACAAAGTTTAATTCTGGTTACCAGCTTGCCTGTGTATCCAACAAAGTTTAATTCTGGGTACAAGCTTTTGTGAGTATCCAACAAAGTTTAATTCTGGTTAACAGCTTGCCTGTGTATCCAACAAAGTTTAATTCTGGGTACGAGGTTTTGTGAGTATCCAACAAAGTTTAATTCTGGTTACCAGTTTGCCTGTGTATCCAACAAAGTTTAATTCTGGGTACGAGCTTGCCTGTGTATCCAACAAAGTTTAATTCTGGGTACGAGCTTTTGTGAGTATCCAACAAAGTTTAATTCTGGTTAACAGCTTGCCTGTGTATCCAACAAAGTTTAATTCTGTGCATGCACACTTCTTCCACCAGGTTTTTGATTAGGAGCCGCCAGTACCACCAACGATCCCTGGTAACAACCGGGAGAGCCAGTTTGGTGTAGTGGTGAAGTGCGCGGACTCTAATCTGGGAGAACCGGGTTTGATTCCCCACTCCTCCACTTGCAGCTGCTGGATGACCTTTGGCAAGCCGTAGTTCTGATAAGAGCTGTTCCTGAAAAAGAGCAGTTTCTGTCAAGAGCTCTCTCAGCCCCACCTACCTCCCAGGGTGTCTGTTGTGGGGAGGGGAAAGGAGTTTGTAAGCCGCTCTGAGACACCTTTGGGTAGTGAAGGGCGGGGTATATATCCAATCTCTTCTTCTTCTTCTTCTCTATGAAGATCGAACTACAGCAGGATGGTGGATCAGGTCCGCTGAACCGGGGGTCTGTGAAATATCTTCAGGACACCATCTTGCTTTCATTGATGACAAATAGCATCGAGCACTTTATTATGTAAAATTGTTTGTTTTTATGTATCGGCACACGGTGACCTTGTTTGTGAGCCGCCCTGAGCCCATTCGTGGGGAGGGTGGGGTAGAAATTTAATAAATAACAACAACAACAATAACAATAATAATACTTTGGACATGGAAGCTCCTACCCAGAATAAACCTTTGTTGGTCTTAAAGGCGCCGCTGGACTCCAACTTTGTTCTATTGCTTCAGACCAACACTGCGAGTCCTGTGTTCCCCCTAAGCTGAGTTAGTGTGAGGTAGCTCACAGTTTTTTAGCCTCCAGCTTACATTTTTGTCTTAGCTTGGGAAGGAGGGCTCCAGAGCAAACTGATTGATGCAGTAGCGAAATCGCTCACTCACAACTTTAATGCCAGCAGCTCACAAAGTAGAATTTTTGCTCACAAGACCCCACGGTTTAGAGGGAGCATTGTGGTATCATATTTTGACCCTTATTCATGGTGAAAATCACCGAGGGCATTGCATTGCAATATTAATCTCTGCACGTTTTAACTGCATACAATTATGTTAACTAGAGGGGCAGGTTTCGTTCACTTCGTGATCAGCCAGCTAGAGGCACATTTATAGTGACTTAACGAAATGCGTTTCTTTGAAATAAATATTGCTCGGAGCGAAATATTGCAAGCAACGCTCCCTCCAAGCTGTGGAGTCTGGTGAGCAAAAATTCTACTTTGTGAGCTACTGGCCTTAAGGTTGGAAGTGAGCATATTTGGCTACTGCATAGATTAGTTTGCTCTGAAGCCATCCTTCCTGAGCCGAGAGAGAAATGTGTGAGCTGGAGGCTAAAAAACTGCGAGCTAGCTCACATTCACTCAGCAAGCAACGCTTCCTCTAAGTTGTGGAGTCTTGTGAGCAAAAATCCTACTTGGTGTGGGAGTTGGGAGCAAGCATATTTGGCTACTGCATAGATTAGTTTGCTCTGAAGCCATCCTTCCTGAGCCGAGAGAGAAATGTGTGAGCTGGAGGCTAAAAAACTGCGAGCTAGCTCACATTCACTCAGCAAGCAACGCTTCCTCTAAGTTGTGGAGTCTTGTGAGCAAAAATCCTACTTGGTGTGGGAGTTGGGAGCAAGCATATTTGGCTACTGCATACATTGGTTTGCTCTGGAGCCATCCTTCCTGAGCCGGCTCACACTCACTCAGCTTAGAGGGAACACTGGTTGCAAACAACGCTCCCTCTAAGAGCTGTGGAGTCCGGTGAGCAAAAAACTAACTCAGCTCAGAGGGAACGAAGGAGTAAGTAGAACGACCCTTGCAGGAAAGTTCCTCCCTTTGTTGTTCAGTCGCACAGTCGAGTCCAACTCTTCGCGACCCCATGGACCAGATCCCGCCAGGCCCTCCTGTCTTCCACCGTCCTCTGAAGTTGGCTCAACTTCATGTTCATTGCATCTATGACACTGTCTAACCATCTTATCCTTTGCCGTCCCCGTCTTCTTTTTTTTCTCATTAACATTTTATTGGTAGGATTAAAACAATAAAACAAATATAACAATAAAAATATACATAAAGGTCATAAGAACAGTTATACATTCAAACCAACACACCAATTACAAAAAAAGTAAGCTTTAAAGAATGATACATTCTTCAATAAATCTTTGAACAAAGTAACTTATTTTAGCCTCAATTTGTAATTGATGCCTGTACTGTTTGTTGCTTTAGATACAACCAAGTGTCTTCTGCCCTCAAGAATATCTGTAGACATTCAATGATATATCTAATCCTATTAAACACAAAGTACTACCCACAAATCAAGTTTTACCAAAGCCTATTTACTATACTTTATTTGAACCATAAAAAATCCTCACAACCATTTAACATAGTTATCCCAGGATGCTGAGATAATTTTTTTGTCTGATAGAGCTTCTAAAATTGGCATCCATTTAGCTTCGAACCCAAAATGTACGACGTTCCTTTTATTTCTGTTAACTTTATCAGTGATGCTTTCCATAATGAACTGATTCCACAGCTTCTTGTACCAAGTTTGAATGTCCCCGTCTTCTTTGACCTTCAATCTTTCCCAGCATCAGGGCCTTCTTCTCCAGGGAGTGCTCCCTTCTCATTGGGTGGCCAAAGTCTTTGAGCTTCAGTTTCATTATCTGGCCTTCCAGGGAACAGTCGGGGTTGATTTCTTTTAGGATTGACTGATTTGATCTCCTTGCAGTCCAGGGGACTCTCAAGAGTCTTCTCCAGCACCATAGTTCAAAAGAATCTATTCTTTTGAATAGTTTTTGAATAGTTTTGAAAAGTTCCTCCCTACCTGAGAGTGAAACGGTAAAGGTAAAGGTTTCCCTTGCTCGAAAGCCAGTCGAATCCGACTCTAGGGTTGCGGTGCTCATCTCCGTTTCCAAGCCGAAGAGCCGGCGCTGTCCGAAGACGTTTCCGAGGTCACGTGGCCGGCATGACTAGACGCTGAGGCGCACGGAACGCTGTCACCTTCCCACCGAAGCGGTACCTATTTACCTACTTGCAATTTCTTGCTTTCAAACTACTAGGTTGGCAGGAGAGAGTGAAAAAGAAACAAACCCAAAAACACCCTCCCCTCAGCAGGGGGCGTGGCCTCAGGCGCGGGGCGTGGCTTTTCGGGTGACTCCGGTAAGTGGGAAGGAGGCGGGGCCCGGCGCCCCTCGAAGCGTTTCATTGCCCGCCTCCCCCCTTTTCCGTCAGCCGTTGCGCCAGAGCCCAGCCAATCACCGACGGCTCGAGGACGGGCCCCGGCGAGCCGCGGACGGCCACGCCCCCCCACCCTCTCGTCGTCCTCCTCTCCCCTCCCTCGAAGTGACGCCAGCGCGCCGGCGTGCGCGTGACGTCAGATCCCGGGCGAAGGCGGGCGGGGCCGGTTTGAACGGTGAGCGACCGACTGAGGTAACGGGGCGAGGCAGGCGGCGGGGCGGCGGCGCTGCGGCTGTGGGGCGGCGGAGAAGGAGGACGACCGGCCCCCTGTCTCCCTTCGGGCTCCGAGGGTCCCGCCGGCGGGGGGG